TATTTTATTTCTTAATTAAAGAAATGGTTGTGTATGTGATTAAAAAACAGATAACATGAAAGAATATTAATATGTAAAGTACAGTATAATATGCATGTATTATAATGTGTTGACAGCAAACACTGGGTTTCAAATTGTTACCATTTTGAAAAATTATATAAATCTTGTCGTTTAACTCTGGGTTCTTATGTGAAATCATGACTTGACATAAGAATAATAAAAATTGTTATTTTGAAAGAATATATTTTATAAAATAAAGTGTTGACCGAATCAATGGGACAGTCGTATTGTTTTCATGTGATAAATGCCTGAATGTATGGGAATATCAGTTGTTGTATAATATTCTATGTCTATATCAATTGATTTAAAGTTGTCGAGACTTTTCTGACGGCACGACAACCAGAATCTTCTGCAGTGTTAATGTCATCCAATCTGTAGACACAAAAAATATTATTTATGATATCAAATAACTTGTGTTTCCAATAATTATTAAATCTATTGTTAAAATTAAAATCAATATTGTCTACAAACCGAATGCATTTTGAATGGGTTTCGGTTTCCTTTTCCAAGCGATGAAAATAAAATAGACGGGAACTCCGGTTAATATGATTAGACAGCCGAAGCCGGTGCCGACCGGATCCGCAAACATTGGCACCACTGTTATGAATATGGATCCGAGGATGTAAATGATGGGCCAAAATAAAAATACCATTAAATAACTTTACATAGCATATATTCATATACTGACTAAATACATGTATTAACGTATTGTTTTGGTCTATAATTTCAAAATGTTTAAGAAAACTTGAAGAAAGGAAAGTTAAACAACTTTGTTTAAATTAACAATTAAAATACAATTCTTTGCAATTTATGGCTTATTTGAGATAGATTTGGATGTATTGAAAATGACATGTATTTGTGAATTGTAATGACAGGTCTATTAACTTTCGTCAACTGTTGGGACGTGAAGTGGTCGACAAGAGTACAGGATTTCTTCACATATGGAAAACTGTTGGCTTTGGTCACGATTATCATAACCGGAATCGTTCAGCTCTCCAAAGGTATTGAATTTTTTTGTGCTGTTTTTTGTCATCTTTTTTATGTACAACACATGTGTTAAACAAATTAAAATGATTAAATAGAGTGCAGTGTTATACAAGTTTTTGTCGTAATATACATTTGAACGCCAATTGATATTATAATCAATTTCCTGTTTTATTTAGCTTAATAATTATATAATAGGGTGACCATGTTTTTCTTCATAAAATAGAGTGCAGTGTTATACAAGTTTTTGTCGTAATATACATTTGAACGCCAATTGATATTATAATCAATTTCCTGTTTTATTTAGCTTAATAATTATATAATAGGGTGACCATGTTTTTCTTCATATTTAATTATTATTCCTGAAACCACAATAACGACAGTTTTTATGAGTACATTTTTATTTGTGATCTAAATCCAAAGTGTTTTTAAACATTATCGTTTAAATAATGCATCATTTTATATAAATATGTATAATCGCTATCGTATAAAATACGTGATCACTTTAAAATTTGTAGTTTAAATATTACAGTAGTGAGTAAACACTTGGACTCGTACTACAGAGTCTGTATAGTTTGTATCGATAGAATAATCGAATATAATTTCCAATTCCAATAACTTATTGCTGTTAAATTACTATTAAAATTGTCAGTAATAATAAGAATGTTGCTTATAATATGAAATTTAGTGGTTAGTGTCATCAGAATAAATGAAGTAAATGTAAATTTTGTAAAATAATATTGTCGAAACCAAATTCTAGACATTATTTACATTTTACTTTGCAGTGTTTTTGAACAATTAACAAATGTTTTAAAAACATTATGTCATGTGTTTATGGAATGTAAAGTTTTAACTTTATATTTAGTAAAGTTTTAAAAACACTGACATATTGTGAGATATTATTTATATTATTTTATAATATTGATATTTGAGATAATGATAATCAGGATATAATTTAAACAAAACATTTTTATTAAACTAACATGATATATTCATTGACAATAATAAATGCTATACAGATATTATAGAAATTGATATTAATTCGCATTGAATAACGTTATTATAAAACAATAATTGCATGATTTAATAGAAATTATAATTTATTTATGACATGAATTTGTTTGATAGGACACACCGAGCACTTTACGTTTGAACAAGATCCGGCTGTTCCTCATGTCGACATCACAACAATAGCCCTATCATTTTATTCCGGATTATTTGCTTACAATGGATGGTATGTATTAGTCTTAGTAAACGTGTCGCGTTTACGCATAAATTACTCTCACTCGCGGGTTGTGATCGTGAGTGAACGTGAAATGTTTGCAGACACCGTGAGTCAGTGTGATTCACGCCACTCACGATTTATTTAATGAGAAACCATATAAAAATGAAAAAATGTTAAAATAATTTACAAACTTTTCTTAAAGTTTAACGAATTTATATTTATTATTCTTTTTCTTTTGTTTTAAAAGTGTCTAGTACACAGAATATTGTAAATCTAGTTTTTTTAATTGTTAGATTTGAGATTTATATGCAAACCATTTAGAAAATTTATTTTCCATTTATAAAAGCACATGTTTTGTGTCAAAACAAACAGGATTTAAACTACAAAATACGGAATAGTCTGTAAATGCAGGTTATACATGGGTTCGGGTAATGCACGGAACTTTAGGGTAATACAACATTGCTATACAGATGTGTATACAGGTCTTATTGTATCTAGTTTTAACAAAATTTAACCTTAAGAAAGTCATTGACTTAAATTATAAAAAATATTATTTACTTATTAACAAAAGCAAATGTTTGCAAAATGCTTTGTTATTGATATTAAAGCAAAACAGAAACGCCGATATTTAACATACTTTTGCCAAATATTATTTTAATCAAATTCTGCGAAACACTTAAAATTTGAATGAAAATATTATTTGTCTGATATATTGGTGTTATTTCAAATATTTGAAGTTCCTATTGTGTGAACGTTTCGACATTATTTCCATTAGAAATACTGTTTGGATGAATGAATATTGAATTTTGTTTGCAATTTCAGGAATTACCTAAACTTTGTGATCGAAGAGCTGAAGGAACCCCACAAGAATCTGCCCAAAGCTATATTCATATCATGTATTTTAGTGACAGTTGTCTACACTCTCACTATAATTGCATTCCATTCGACTCTAAGTGTGGGCGAAGTGTTGGGCGCCGAAGCGGTGGCCGTCGTATGTATTCGTGATATAGTATACAGTATTTAGTGATTAATTGAAACAATTCAATGAATACTGAATAGACATTTGCTGAACGTTTGTACGGATGGATGGCATGGATTGTACCGGTGTTTGTGGCGATGTCCACGTTTGGTGGCGTCAACGGAATCCTATTTACCTCTTCGCGACTCTTTTATGCCGGCGCTGAACAAAAACAAATGCCAGAAATATTGGCAATGATTCAGATCAACCACTTAACACCGACACCCGCTGTGATCTTTATGTGCATTCTATCGCTTGTATATCTGGCCTCCAAAGACATCTACGCTCTCATCAATTACGTGGGATTTGCCACTTGGCTGGCCATCGGGTTGGCTGTCGTTTGTCTTCCATACCTGCGCTGGAAACAGCCAGATCTTCCACGACCTATTAAAGTGAACCTCATTTGGCCCATCATTTACATCCTCGGATCCATATTCATAACAGTGGTGCCAATGTTTGCGGATCCGGTCGGCACCGGCTTCGGCTGTCTAATCATATTAACCGGAGTTCCCGTCTATTTTATTTTCATCGC